TTGGGGTCATCTGTTTTCCCTTGGTTCCTGCCACTTCTTGAGCTGATGGTCACCTCTTCTATTCATGTTGTCTATCTCTGTAATAATAATCAAAGACCTGGCAGTGTATTCAATCTGTGAAACTGTGAAACCTACTGTGTTATCTTGAGCTGGTATATGCCAAATCTAGCCTTTTACCCTATAGCAATTACAAATATTGAAGGCCAATTATTGATGTCCTTGATTAGAAGATGATTTTTTGAATTGCATAGGTAATGTCTCCCAATATGCATGCCAATATACTTCAAGGTCCCTTTATGTTGCTGAGCACATACTTGAAGCTGCTCTGTCCCAAATTGCTCAAGTTATTACAGTTTCCATTACTGTGATTAAAATTCTCTGTATCACCAATTAAATACAGGAGTTTCTGGGGGTGGAACAGAGCTAGAGATTCCACTAAATTAAAATTGCATCCTTTTATGATGATATCTTTAGGTCTTCTGTACAGTAGAACAGTAGATGGCTTTGTTCCTCTCGTTACCTATTTTACAAATAAAAGCTGTCCTTGTCCTCGTGATCTGAGGATCAGTCTCTTTCTTCATAAATGTACAATTAAAGTGACGAAGTGACTGCTCTTAAAACTATCCTTAAGAAAAACAACAACAACAAAAACTCCTCTGACTCAACTGAAAGAGCTGAAGGCATTCCCTCTAAGATCTGGAACTGGAAAAGAATGTTCACATCTACAACTCTTATTCAACTCATATTAGAGATCTTCACAGGAGCAACTAGTCAAGAGAAAGAAATAAAGGACACCCAGTTCAAAATAGGCAAAGTCAAACCATCTCTCTTCTCAAACAACATGATCCTCTGTGTAGAAAACACTACAGCTTCAACTAAAAAAATGGTATATGCATTTAGTAAAGTTGCTGAATGCATCAACATACACTCAGTAGCAATTTTTTTATGTGCCAGTAATGATAAATGGATGGAAAAAGCAATCCCATCCGATACGGTTATAGACATACACAGAAGCAAAGTATTAAGGAATAAATTTAATTGAAGAAGTGAAAGTTATGAAACAATTGAAGAATTATAGAGGTCAAACTCAGAAAAACAGAAAGACAACATGCTCATGGGCTGGAAGACTGTATTGTTAAAATGGTAGTCATATCTAAAGTGACCTTTAGATTCAATGTAATACTCATCAAATGAACAATGACATTCTTCATGGAAATAGAAAAAATAATAAAATATCATATGGAATTTCAAAAAGACCCAGTAGTCAAAACAACTCTGAGCAAAAAGAACAAAGCTGGAGGCATCTCATACATGATGCCCACAGTGAAAAAAAACAGAGATTATTCATTGATCTCTTTCTAGTAGTAAATATAAAAGAAGTTCTTGTGGCAAATAGACAGAAATCTATAAACCTTGGACAAACATTTTGTGGTAGCTAGTCAATATTATCAAAGGTTTCCTGAAAATCATTTTGTCATGTTACTTGTTTAAATGCCTCTGTTAGCTCAACAGAGAAACAAGTGTCAAATGAGTCATCTTACAATGTCATGTTTTCTACCTAATATTAAAATTGAAAATTAGGTTCACTATAAAACAGTAGAGCTCTGTAGGTTACTAGAATTTTCTATTTTTCAAACATCTGTTATGCATTGCACATTTTCTTTAAGAATTTTTCTCAAAAAATCTATCTTTGACAGTGGAGTGTCCATTTTGGGTACTTTCCATAGCTAGCTGAGAATTTTAAGTTATAGCTTAGTCACTAGATAGAGTTATATGCCATGATGTTTAACTCTAACTTTGGCATTAGTCAAGATTGATAGGCTATTCTTGGTTGTATTAAGTGGACTAGTCCCTGTGGAGTTCATTTCTATTTTTCTTACTTGCTTACTAATGAGCAGTGGCATGACTGTGAAGCTAGACGCTGCTAACGTATAAGTTAGTTATACCCACACAGCTAAGTAATATTCACATCCCTTTTCAGAGATAAGGATTCCATGACAAGTAATTCTTCTCTTCAATAATTAAAATATATCTTAATTATGACTTATGCATGAATAATTTGATCAATTGATGTGACAAAAAAGAGATATATTTGAGCAAGGAAATCTTGGATTACTCCAATGGGTTAAAGTTCTGGGGGAAAAATACTTCTTCAAAATGCTTAAATAGGGATACAGGTTGACCATTGTAACAATGAGATACGTAAGACAGTATGTTGAAAACAAACTTTACAATTTAGGTGAGGGGGTGGGGAGTAGGGGGGGAGTGTAGTTGTGGAGGTGGGAGGGAAGGGATGGTAGGGGAAAAAACAAAGGAGGAGGCAACAATGCTTCATAGGAAATGTACTCACTACCTTACTCATGTAACTGTAACCCTTCTGTACATCCAGTATTTTTACAATAAAAACGTATTAAAATATAAAACCATGAACTTTCATATTTGACATAAAAATGACTGTTCTTATCACAAACTTTATTAAAAGTAGTTAAACACACACACAAATAGGTGCATAACTAAGTGGGTCTGGCTTATAAACATGAGAGAACTGAAAGACTCTGGGAGCTTCACAGACAAAGCTGCATATATCATAATGAATTATGAATTGCTCACACACTGCGTATTCCATAGGAAAGATACGGAATGTATTGGTAATTATTCTAAAGAAAAGTTGAACATAAAGTTAATATCAAGGTTAAAAATAACTCTGTAGTAAACTAGCAGGTGCTTTCAAAAGTGAACTAAAGCAAAAATTCCTAAAAAAGAAACTCTCTCATTTGTCCTTAGTATTTAAAAAAGCCAATAGTCCAGTGATTCTTGAAATATTTAAGATAAAACTTGTGAGAGAAGGACTGTGCGTAATAGTGCATGCGTGTAATCCCAGCTGCATGAAAAGTAGATGGAGAAGGATTATGGTTCAATGTTGACCTCAAGAAGTATGAGTCCCTATCTGAAAAAAATGGCATAGCATACTTATCCAGCAAGCATAGTAAGACCTTGAGTTCAATACCTAGTACAGTAAAAGAAGGTGTTGGTATTATAGTAAGGCAGCATCCCATTCCATTGTCTAAATGTGGACCTCTCTCTGCTACAGTATAAACTGGTTAAAAATAGAGTCTAGAATTTATTCCACTCCAAGTCTTTTTGTCCACTTTTTTGTTCAATAGATGTTATCATCAAAATGCTCTAGATATAAATAATCAAATATAGATAATATAAATAATAAATCTTATGTAAATATTAAAATCTGTCATACTTGTTATTACAATGATGTATTTTCATTCACCCTTTGGTCACAGTGATTTACTGTGTTTTAAATTGAGAGTATTCTCTTTTGAATCCTATTTTAGAACTATCTTTTATTTTAAAAGCAGGCAAACCAGCAATCCAAACCTGTTTCTCTGTGTTAAACTAACAGGGGCCTTAAAAAAATAATACGACACTGTGATTTGCACTAAACTAGGAAAGGTTATTTTGGAACTGCTTGGACTTTAGATATTTGAAGTAGTAATTACTTCCTCCATAAATACTACCTTTTAGAGTCAAATACTACTTTCCTGTTGCAGTTCACTTTTAAGTTAAAAGAAAACGTCTTTTATCCAAAATTCACCCTGTTAAATTATTCCACATGATAACTATCCTTTTTATTTGTTTTAGTAGCATTGTAATATCTATGAGAGGTCATCATGATAGTGACAATAGCTGACACTTATTCAGTTCTTATTCTCTTTTGCTCAAGCCTAGAAATCTATCACTTTGAGCCACAGTGCCTCTTCCTTAGTACTTACTCATTTCAGTAAGCATTGTATATTGCTATGCCATTTAATACCACAAAAATTTAGGTTATCTATCTATCTATCTAACTATCTATCTATCTATCTACCATCTATCTATCTCTCAAGTATCATCTACTATTATCTATCTATCTACTATCTATCTATCTATCTATCTATCTATCTATCTATCTATCTATCTATCTATCTATCTAATTCCCCTGTTTACATGTAGACCTTCCTCTGACTAGAGTTCAAGCTGGTAAAAGACAGAGACTAGATTTTTTTTCTCCCCAAATCTATTTAAAAATAGGTTTTCATTGTGAAAATACTGTACAGGGGCTGGGAAGATGGCATAGTGGTAGAGCGCTTGCCTTGCATGCATGAGGCCCTGGGTTCGATTCCTCAGCACCACATAAGCAAGAAGAAAAAAGCCGGAAGTGGCGCTGTGGCTCAAGTGGTAGAGCGCTAGCCTTGAGCTGAAGAGCTGAGGGACAGCACCCAGGCCCAGAGTTCAGGCCCCACGACTGGATTCCCCCCCCCAAAAAAAAGAAAAAAAAGAAAATACTGTACAGAGATGGTTACAGTTACATGAGCAAGGTAATGAGTATGTTTCTTATCCAGCATTGTTGCCTCCTCTTTGTTTTTCCCCTACCATCCTGTCCCTCCCACCTCCTTAACTAGCCCCCCCCACCTAAATTCGTTTTTCAACATAGGTCTTGTACATATCATTGTTGCAGTCTCCAAATCTTTTCATCTAGCATAAGTCATGGCATGTAACAAATGCTCAAAGGATGTTTATCATAAAAATATTCTAGATATAAATAAGAAGGGATTAAATTTATGTCTATTTACATACTATCATCTATGTATCACTAAGGTTTGGAGACTTTTTCCAACTGGTAAACAATATGATCAAGTTCATAATAGAAAAGGCATCTGCAGATCTGTATTCTTCGAATCATGTTTTTTGAAGCTGCAAGTATTCAGTAACAAAATTTAATGGCCACATTTTGCATCCACCAAGATTCATGGCCTGGCTTTGCAAAGTATATTATAAAACATCAAACAATATGTGTTTTGAAAGGTGGTATGTAAGTCAATGTCATCAAGCCAATAGCCAAGATTCCAAGAGTACCTCTTCCACATTGTATGCATGGAAAATCAACTCTTACCTGATCTTCACCAGCACATACATTTTGAAACTGACCATTATCGTTTGCAACTTACCATTGCCTTGGGTTTGGTTCCAGAACTGGACACTGGAGTAGAAGATGTTGTATCCATCAACTCAGTGTTAGGAGGCAAGTTTACTTGGGTCTGGTGTACTGAAATGGTATCTGCTCCACTTTCAGATCCTGATTCCAGATCCTGTTAAAAATAAATGCGTTGCTATGAAGGAAGGAGATGCATGCCCACTTTCCTGCTCTCCTTTCCATCTCCTCCTCTGTCAACACACACAGACACAATAAAGAGTTGTTCACTCAACATGATGCTCATAGTCCTGCCTATTTTATAGTAACAGTTACACTCTGCTAAGGATCTTTAGATATGAAAGTCAGAGGTAATATATTACTTTTTTAAAATAACTTAACATCTTAATGTGAATAATAAAAGTCAATAGTGGGAGCTAGCTAGGGCACTACACTAAGAGTTGGGAAGTAGAAGCCTATAGATAACCCTAAGCAATTAGCTTAACACCCCACATGCAACTAAGTACTTCTCAGATTTTCTCACTGGGTCATTGCACACATCAAATAATGAGGAAGTCTTTATTTTTCCTCACCCTGCTCTTCTCTCATTACACTAGACTTCCATGGTCACACCTACCACAGTGGCCTTGAATCATTCAGCTCAAGTTTCTATCTAACTATGAGACAAGAATTGTGTTGGATCATATGCAACTCAATTCCCTTATTTGAAAGTGGAGATAATGACATTACGCATTAATGGAATTTTATGAATATTAAACAAATGGAACTCAAAGTACATGTGGTTGGCATACAATAATTTCAATTAAATATTAGTCATTATAAATATGATGTGTGTGTGTGTGTATGTGTGTGTGTGTGCGTGCGCGCGCGCGTGTGTGTGCCTTCATAGTATATCTGGGGCTTGTACTCAGGGTCTGGATGCTGTAGTTTTTTTTTTTTTTTCATTCAAGGCTAGAGCTCTACCACTTGAGCTACAGCTCCATTTCTGGGTTCTTATGGACTTTTCTTCCTGGGCTGGCTTTGAACTGTGATCTTCCTCTCAACCTCCTGCATAGCTAGGATTACAGATGTGAGCTATTTGTGCCCAGCTGATTGTTTTTAATACCACATTGTCTTAGTAACTCCTAAGTAACAAGGTATCTGTTGAGTGTGTGCAATTATTCTAATCTCTGCAGATTGTGCATTGGAATTAACAAATGCTCTCTTTGAATTACAGGAGACCTAGCTATATCGAGGAGAGATGGGAGAAGGAGAAAGTCAAGAATAGAAGGATAAAAGAGTAGAAGTCAAGAGTAAAGGATACTATAACAAACCTACAGCCAGCATTATACTTACTGGAAAAAACTAAAGCCATTTCCTCTAAACTCAGGATTGAGACAAAGATGTCCACTCTCTCCACTTCTTTTTAATTTAGATTAGAATGCCTAGCTAAAGCAATAAGACAAGATGCAAACATGAAGGGGATCCAAATAGGGAAAGATGAAGTAAAACTCTCCCTCTTTGCAGATGACATGATCTTGTATTTAAAGAATCCCATGACTCCACTCCTAAATTACTTGAACTAATTTGAAACTTTGGCAAAGAAGCAGGGTACAAAGTTAACCCTCAAAAATCAATGAGTTTTTTGTATTCCAACAATGAGAAGAGCATGGCTGAAATCAGGAAAGCAACTCCTTTTCTAATAGCCCCACAAAAAATACCTAGGAGTTAACTTAACTAAAGAAGTGAAGGACCTCTAGACAGCTTCTTCAGTAAATGGTGCTGGAAAAATAGGTTAATCACCTGTAGAAAACTCAAGCTAGATCATTATATATCACCCTACACCAGAATCAACTCCAAATGGATCAAATTCCTTGGAATCAAAGCAGATACCCTGAAAATATTACAGGATTGAATAGGAGAAAGCCTAGATCTCCTTGGCACAGGCTGAAAATTTCTTAATGGAGACCCAGAAACACAACAAATCAAAGAAAGGTTCGACAAATGGGATTGCATGAAGCTGCAGAGCTTCTGCATGGCAAAGGACATAGGTAGCAAGATTAATAGAAAGCCCATGGATTGGGAGAAGATCTTCACTAGCCATACAATGGACAAGGGTCTCATACCTAAAATATACTTGGAACTCAAAAAATTAAATACCCCAACTACAAATCCTCAAAGAAACAACTGCTCGATAAATAAGTGGGCTAAAGACTTAAAGAAAAATTTCTCTGAAGAGGAAAGAAGGATGGCCAGTAGACACATGAAGAAATGCTCAACCTCCCTAGCCATAAAAGAAATGCAAATCAAAACAACCTCGAGATTCCACCTCATCGTAGTTAGAATGGCTATAATCAAGAACTCTAACAACAGATGCTGGAGGGGATGTGGTCAGAAGGGAACCTTACTGCATTGTTGGTGGGAGTGTAAACTTGTTCAACCACTTTGGAAAGAAGTATAGAGGTTCTTCAAAAGACTCCACATTCCACATAGAGCTCCCCTATGACCCAGCAATCCCACTTTTGGACATTTACCCAAATGTTTACAAACAAGACCACACTAAAGCTACCAGCACAACTATGTTTATTGCAGCATTATTTACCATAGCTAAGATATGGAACCAACCCAGATGCCCCTCACTGGATGAATGGATCAAGAAAATGTGGTATATATACACAATGGAATTCTATGCCTCCATCAGAAAGAATGACATCGCCCCATTTGTTAGGAAATTGAAAGTCTAGGGAAAATTATATTAAGTGAAGTAAGCCAGGCCCAATTTCTTAATCTTACTTTTCACTTGGCAGCATTATTTTCCTCAATGTTCACCAACTCTGTGTGAAAAATAATGCTATCATCACTTGCAAAGTGACAAATCCCAGACTTAAGGCAAGTGACATTTCCAAATCACACTCTAAAATCTTTATCTGACAGAACTGATATTAACATACAGGTCTTGTTGGATGTGTAGAGACAAAGTGACTTCAAATTTATAGTTTTCAAGTTCATTTTGTAACACTAATCCTTAACTGAAGTATTTCATGGAATACAGTACATAGTTTTAAATTGAAAAGATAAGTGGATGTTATCACAAATAAATACAGAAACTGGAATAATTCTAGTTTAAGAATCCATCTCTACTGGCTCCCAGTGGCTTACACCTATAATCCTAGTTACTCGGGTGGCCGAGATGTGAGGATCACAGCTCAAAGCCAGCCCTGGCAGTTTTTCTCAAATAAACTACCAAAAAAGCCAGAAGTAGACTTGTGGCTCAAGTGGTAGAGTATTAGCTTCAAGCAAAAGAAGCTCAGAGACAGCACCTCAGCTTTAAATTCAAGCTCCAGGACCAGCAAACAAACAAACAAAAACCCACAACAACCCCTCCATAAAAAAACAAAACCAAACAACAAACAGACCTTTTTGACTTAAAAGCTCAACTTTATGAATTCACCAGCACACAGAGGACCAAACCTACATAAGTAACTGAATAGGGCTACCTATGCATAGCTTAGTACAAATGTTATTATTTCTCTTTTCACCTTTGAAAAGAGAAATCACATCTGGGCTCTATCTAGATCTAGATTCATTCCCTCTTTACCTGTCCACTGCTCCTATGTACTAAATAATAACTGAATTACTTTCCTGAATTGTATTACTCTGATACCTAATACTTTCCCTGTTACCTGCTTTGTGCAGTTCATTTTATGTATCTTCTTCCCACAAAGCTCCAGTCATCACTGGTACTCAGTTCCCCAACTGTGTCAGGCAATGGGAACATATAGATTTCAGAGGAGTTCTTGTAGCAGAAAATCTTTGTGCTATGTGCTATAATAGCACTGCGTGTACAGTTCAATCAAAGCACAAATGAATGGGCCGCTTGAGACCCTATGAAATAAGATTTCATTGGTGATTCCCTTTTGAAAGAAGCTAGGGAAGCTGTGATATTTCCCAAGGAAATTAGTCTTACAGAAGGGAAAACTGAGTTAGAATCTGGATATAAGATTTAAGGGGTAAATGTAGGAAGAGAAATCACATGAGTATATAGGCTGTAATTTCTGAGGTGGTAAAGAAGTAAAAACAAAAGAGGAACCAGAAGTCAAGAAGTGGTAAAAGTTATTGAAGACATGACTGTATTCGGTATTGTCCAGTGCTACAGTGAAGATAGTGAAGTTACTAAGGCATCTGTCAGATAAGAGGCATGGAATAGTGGTCAACAATTAAGTGAAGATGCAGTAGAAGTTTGGGTCAAAAAGGAACAAGTGAAGGGCTCTTTGTAATTGGGAGAAAAACTTTGTTTTAAATCTTCTAAATGGAAAACAGCCATGGATTCTCTTATTATCACCTCTCTTGTTCTTGCACACTAATATAGAAGTCTTAAGCACAGGAAGCATTTATTTATTGAATAGGTACATGGTAGAGACATCGAAGCATGTATATATGCTCAAGAGGAAAAGAATAAGATCCAAGCTGCCAGCTAGGGGCCAGGCTGTCAGGAAAGTATCAATTTGGAAGAAAATCTGGCATGCCTAGTTTTTGGGGAAGAGGGGAATGTATATTTCCTTTCCTTTCCTTAAGCTGCCTATATGTTAAAAAAGAAAAAAAAATCCCCAAAGAATAGGAACTTATAGGAATAGAGAAATAGAATTTGAGTCTATGAGGGCAGATGAATCATTGGTGAAGCAAAACCAGCAGTAAGAAGGGATGCAAGTAGAGACTTAGCCTATAAAATAAAACATTAAACGACAAGAACATGATGTCTTTTACTAAAGAGACACTTACAGTCATGTCTACTTAGCAAATGGACGTTTGCTAAGAGGTACATGCTAAAGTGGGAAGGGATTTTAGGACAAGAATAAAAGTTTTGAATAGTCACCTGGACAATTCAAGGAGACCAAAGAGTAGTGCAAAAGGTTCAACAAAGTTAGTGGTCAACATCTACATGTGTTTTAATCTTCCCTTCAGCATAGATAAAATATCCCGAGATTATAAATATTTCTTTGCTTATACATTGATTCAAAACAATTAGGAACATAAACTCAAAATACTGTGTTGACTTCCAGAGAGCCTTGGCAATGATTCCACTGCAAATGCAAAACTTACATTCTGGGTTGGCTTATAATGCAGCAGAATGACATGGGCTTTTCTGAAGAAGTGGGAAGTGAATCTCAGTTTGCTATGTAACTTTTGGCAAATCAGTACCATTCTGTGTCACTACGTAAGTCATCATTTCTGAATCTCAGGCTTCTTATTATAGGACTGTCAAGAAGACAAGTAATGGAATATGTGTATGTGCATATGTGTGTATGTTTTCTAAAACAAGAAAAGTATTACCTTGCAGAGGCATGTAAAAGAAAGAATGCACATAGGTAGTTTAATACATACACACACTTATGTATAGTGAGTATATATAGACTATATAGTCTATATCTATCTCTATATATGTATCTAAATTATATACATACATACATACACACACACACTCAATAAAGCCAGGCATGGTGACTTATGCCTGTAATCCCAATCACTCAGGAGATGTAAATAGATAATTATAGTCTCAGACCAGCCAAAAATCATGAGACCCTATCTGAAGAATAACTAAAACAAAAAAGCTGGGAGTGTGCTCATGTGATAGTACAGTTTTTGCCTAGTAAGAAAACTGAGTTCAAACCCCCAGAACATCCCCTCTGCTCCTCCTGAAAATTTAATGCATGTTACATATTAATGACTCCCTCTACCCACCCCCTGGCCACTCTGCTAACTCCCCAGTCCTCTGCCACTCATGGTGTGAGTGGCTATCATTAGCCAGCCCCAGGACCCACCAAACTGACAAGTGGTGGGTGCTTGGACTAAGAGAAGTGTTGAGATTACAAAGGAGAAAATCAGATATTATGGGCTGGGAAATCTACCATAAATGGAGCCAATTTGTAAGCTCTATCTGCACAGCCTCGTTTTATTTTTTTAAGTTTATTTTATTGTAAAAATGCTGTACTGAGGGGTTACAGTTAAGTAAGGTAAAGTAAGTAAGTAAGGTAATGAGTACTTGTCTTCTCAAACATTATTACACAGTCTCATTTTAAACTTTCCCTTTTCCTATTATTTGTAAAATTCATATTAAATTCACTCTCAAATACTCTAACCTATATTTCTCTTTCCATGTGTGTTTTCATGTATGAAAAGAAGTCTGTTTTTTTTTTCTTATAATACTTCTTAGACTGCAGGTAGGGGAAGAGTGAGGCTGCTTCACTATCTATCCAGGTCTTTCTGCTAAACAATAGTCACAGGAAGGTGTGTGGGGTGGGGGAGGGCAGTGTCTCCTCTGAATCTGAGACAGGGTTCCTTGAGGCATGATCAAGGCCCTAATCAGGACATTATAATCCTCTTATTCCATGGCACAATTATCCAGACGAATGGAAAGTGCCTGTGGAGAAAAACTTGATGATGAGAGAGAATGTTAAAATTAGCTTTAAACACCAAGAAACAGAAGGAAAGCCCAAGGGGTGACCTAGAAAAAAACACAAAAACCAAAAAAGAAGTTTTGAGGGTTGTGGGACTTATCTTTTCATTTTTATTCCAGAGCTTGATGTGAGTACAGAGAGGGAGGGAAGAGAATTAACGACCAAATACATGTTCTGGGCCAGATGTGTGATAAACCACCTATGTACATTCTTTCGTTTACGTGCCTCTACATGACAATACTGCTCTTGTTTTACATAAATCTGGTTAAAAGCTAAATAATTTTCTTATGTTCTTAACCAGCCATATAAAAAGAACCTTGGCATTTGAATCAAATCTGCAGCCATCAAAGTTTATAATATTTGCATTGTTTTATTTTGCCTACTCCAAGTATATATTAAACTCAGAGCTTAGAAATGGAAACTTATTTATAAACTCAAAAATTATGGTGAGATTCTATGAGACAATGTGTGTAATTAAAAAGTCCAGTTTACAATGGAAGTAGAGGCAGAGCTTGTCAGTGAAGATACATCATCTTGTATGTTAGCTCAGGTTTTAGTTTTTCCTTACTGCTTCATGACAAAGCAGATGATAAGGAATATCTTGGTTTTGAGATGAGACAAAACCATAGAGTTGTATTGGGCAGAAATCTGGTCTGTGTGTTTCTCCTAAACACACAGGATTGAGGAAAATTGAATATATAGAGGAAAAGAGACGTGAAAGACAGGAAGGAAGAACAATTTATATTAGAAAATTACAAAAAAATATATTCTGTATCTACATGAATGATAAAGCAGAAAAAAGTAAATAGCTTCAATTGAAAATACAGATGTAACCCTCAATGTACATATGTTAGAAATGGAAGAAGGAAGCTCTCAAGCTTTGTAGGGTTGGGACAGGTAGGAGGGGATGATGAAAGAGATGACGCTAATCAAGATGCATTGTACCCATACACTGATCAAGATGCATTGTACCCACACACTGATCAAGATGCATTGTACCCATACATTGACAGATTGAACTGAAATCTCTTTGTTCAACAATTTAAACACAATAAAAATACACTTGTGCAAAAATACAAATAAGGAAAAATATAGTGATTCCTGACTTGATGGTTTTTCAAAAGAATTGTTTATATACTCCTCATATGTAAGAACAATCAAAGTATCCCACCCTACTGGACTTTAGGAGATGGCTTTGCATCTCTCCCATCTGGATGTCTGTCTTGCTAGCTGAATCTAAATTATGTGGAAGACACTCAGGCAGCACCAAGGAAGGAGTGACTGAATCCTTCTAGGTAGATATTTAAGAATGATTCACTAGAAAGAAAATATTTGCAATGAATCCTGAAGGGTAAGAAAAAAAATTATCCATGTTACAAAAAAAAGAAAATTTCATTTCTATTGAATTTCAAGATTGAAGTATTTTAATTACATATTTATTCATTTCGAATTAGATATCTTTATTGCTTAAATTTGCAAGTTATCTTCACAGTCAGCTAGAGAAGGCAGTATGATGTAATGGTTTAATGATAGAGTTTTGGATGAAAACTTGCTGGGGTTTTCTGTATATTAGTTCAGTCACATGCAATTATTCACTTCTCTATTCTTTTACTCCTTTACTCATTCTGAACAATGGAATACAGTAAAATATGCCAAGCATTTAGAATAACACCCATAATATATTAAAGTAAGGTCTTATTTTGATCTATTTACTTGAAAATCAAGGTAGAACCATACTAACTAAAGAACTAGACACAGAATAGTGGCATTTCAGTAAGTATCCAAGTTTTTGTATGAAAAGTAATATATTTATGCAATCCTTCTGTCTCTTTTTTCATTCTATTTTTAGTATTTTCTCAAGTTATTCTTGTTTACATTATTTGTTGTAGAATTCTGGGTTAGTTCAACCATCGTCTATCCATCCATTCATATATATCCATCCATCCATGCATCTATGTAGAAAATACTTATTAAACATTTTCTTCATGTAGTATAAATGTATGGCCTAGAACTAACTGGGCACAACGTACTTATGTAGATGTAACATTAAACAAGATATACATAGCATTTTCTATGGAGTTCATATCATCTCATTGAAGATTGATAAGAAAACAACTACAGCCAATTTTAATCATAAGCATAATTTCCCAAGGTAAATTTCTTATTTCATGGTTCATATCTTGTTTTGTATCACTCAAGTATATTGTATCAAATACCAGGGTAATCACTAGTCACCATGTATCAAAGAACTGGGGTAACCATGTGGATTAACTTTCCAATGGTCTCTCTACATTAAATAGGACAAATAGATAATTCTAGAGGCATTATCTTTTCATATTTGTATCAAATAGCGTGATCTTCATGGGACATTTGCATAATAATAGATGTATCGTGTCTACACGGATGTTTGGCTTGTGAGAGGGACAGTCTGACGTTAAGAGACAGCACTCTCATAGGAAAGCAGTGGTAGACGGTAAACTCACAGGAACATGGCGCCGCAGGTTCGTTGGTGTGCTAGATGGAGAAGAGCTGGTGCTGAGGGCATTTTCAATGTCCTGGTCAAGTTGGTCTAGTTTCATAATTAGCAGCACCATGGAGTCCAGCCGGGCCTTATCTCGATCTTCTCTTCTTTCCTGAGGAACAGAACATGTTGTTACTCATTTTGAAAGACCATTTGTTAGAAAGAATAAAAAGTTCCCTGTTGGACAATCGGACAAGGCTAATGCATAACAAGCAGTCTTCTATTCAGGCAGGAAGGGAAGTCCTAGTCTGTATCATCAACAAGCTCTTCATTGGGAAGGTGCTGGTCTAGTGCCAGCCAAGCGTTTTACATAAATATTAAGTATTTCAGAAGGAAAAATAACAACAATGAATACTGATACATACTCCCTACTTTCCAATGAATTTTTCTGGGGAAATCTATATACTGATTTTTTTTCAGAGTAAAAATTGATTATTTACAAGCCACTAATAATTGTCTGTGGTCAGACATTTAAAGATGTGCCTAAGCAATTTTTTTGAGTATTTCTGAATTAACATCAACACTATGAGGAGAATAAAGCAAGGAAGCTTTGGTTTGTACTGTGGGTTGTTTCCCTTGATGGCTAAGCTGTTCTAACCTATACCATTGTCCATATTTCCCTCACAGCTTAGTTTTCTTCCACATACTTCTTTTAAATATTTTTTATTGTAAAGATTCATTACAGAGTGGTTACAATTACATGAGTAAGATAATGAGTATATTTCCTATTGAGTATTGTTACCTCCTCCTTTGTTTTTCCCCTACTATTTCTTCCCTTGCCAACTCTTCTTTCTGCACCTCTGAAAGTGTAAAGTTCATTTTCAACATAGTATCCTGTATGTCTCATTGTTATAATGGGTTAACTTGTATCCTTGTTTCAGCATTTTGTTATTTCCCTTCCCCTCCCCAATTATAAAAATGTATATACAAGATGCAGGGCACCAGAATCAAATACAGTGACAATAGGGGTTATAGAAACGTAGAAAAATTATATTAAGTGAAGTAAGCCAGACCCAAAGAGACATAGGCCTCATGGTTTCCCTCATTTGCAATAACTCATATACATTTAAGATAATCTTACCATACAAACAGAAAAGGTCAAAAGCTATGAACATATGACCATAACAACTTTGGTGCGGAGGGGTGGGGGGATGGGAAGGGGGAGTGGGAAAGATTAGGTGGGGGTGCAGGGGGAGGATGGGAAGGGGAAACAAAGGAGGAGGCTACAATGCTTGATAAGAAATGTACTCATTATCTTGCACATGTAATTGTAACACCGCTGTACAGTATTTTCACAAGAAAAAAAAGGAAGAAAGGGAAGAGGTAACAATGATCAACAAGTAATATACTCATTGCCTTATTCATGTAACTGTAACCCCTCTGTACAGCATCTTAACAATAAAATAAAGTTTAAAAAAAGATGATGCTAAGTGAAATGAACCCCAAGATATGGACACAAGAGATGTTTTCTTTGTTGCTGTTGTTTTTAATGTACTATGTGATTTTTTTTTGTTTCTTTTGTATGGTCTTGCCCACATACTTTCCTTTTGAAAAGCATATGAAACAATCATACTTATGGAAATTACTAGACTTACTTTTCCTGAATATTCAGTGCTACATAAACATATATTGTTGTGAATACTTTGGCTTATAGGGGTGCAGATGAAGTTTCTCATTGATTAGGTCAGGGTTATTTGAACACAACGCTTAACTTTTCTATATGGTCAAATTAAATTCATGTTGGGGAATTTAAAAATTCCCTTTGTTGCCCAAGGGATCAGCCTGGGTAGGATATTTGATGGAGGAAAGAATGAAAGACCATGGAAAACACATGTAGTGTTTCGTAGAGGCAAACAGATTGAGAGATGCCATGAGTCAGGGTCACTTGATTTGAGGCCAATCATCATTTGTGACTCAAACTTCCAACTTCCCATCTCTCTGGGAATATTTACTTGGGTGTCTTCAGCTTAAAAAGGACCCTCAGTGGAAAAGCATGTCTGATGGAATCTTAATATCTACATAATGATCGAAGGTTGGGGCCTTAGTCATAGGATGAGCGTGATAAATGCCTGAGTCATACTTTCATCTTGTTTTTGGCATTTCTTTTCATTTATTTTAAATTCTCCAGTCACTGTTAAGAAGCACTCCCAAGGCAAAGGACCGGGATAATCTTGTGGCCCAATTTAAGTCATCAAGGATCTTTATATCTTAAACAGAACAGATAGATAATAGTAGAGGCATTTTCCCTCAGTAGATGAATGGATCAAGAAAATGTGGTATATATACACAATGGAATTCTATGTCTCCATCAGAAAGAATGACATTGCCCCATTTGTTAGGAAATGGAAAGACTTGGAAAAAATTATATTAAGTGAAGTAAGCCAAGCCCAAAGAAACATA